TTTCAGCAATATCACGGCGGGGGACACCAGAAATGGGCTTCACACATTGTACCCATGTCGGGATTCGAACCCGTGTCTTCGGCGTGACGAGCGAACGCTTTAACCACTAGGCTACCCGACCGCCCCACCCTTTCAGATTAGACCCGTGAAGATTCCGGGGTAAGAATAGGTCTTCAGCAACCCATGCTTGCCGTAAAAGGCGACTATGCTTGTCGTAAAAGGCGACTAACGGGATCGGGTGGTCAGACTCGCTGACTTGGTTGATGCATGTCATTGATCCCAATTGCGTGGATCGATGTTCATGATATCGATCACTGGATTGTCTGGTCCAGACTCGATTATTTACAGACCGCCGTCATATAGCTGGAATATTGCGGAGTGCGGAGCTGTGCAGAGTTGCGTCCCTTGGGTACGCCAGAAACCTATGATTGTGGGTTCGAATCCCGGCTCGCCCCTATTGAGTTTAAAGGTTTGGCAGCACCATACCCGTGCTCGTTGGTTTCACAGAAGTGGTAAACGACTGAGACCTGCATCACTTCGGGCTTTCCTCCCCCATTAACTGGAATAATGTTAAAAGCGGCGTTAACCCGAACTCACTCACTCCACTCCCAAACTGACGACGTAGAGCAACGCAAGCTTCGCTAACACGTTCTCCTGGACGCCAGTAGACCTTTGCATGACCATCAGAGCTGTTCAGATGAAACCAAGAATCATCTGTGAACATCTGTGAACATAAAACTGTCTCCGTTTTGTCTTCTGAACCCCAGATGCTGTCTACACCAAGCTGGGCGTGCCTGACGTGGAAGCAAAATTATGTATATCGCAGGACGCCAGGGCCGGATGTTGAGCTCCCTCAACCGGTTGCGTATTGCTCTGCCACTAATTGGTCGGAACCAAGAAATTATCCGAGCTGTTAATGTATCAATATCGATACCATAGATGCACCATCCGAATGTATTTGTCTTGTGGGCGTGACGTCAGACGTGGACGACCGGCCCGCTGCAAGTTATGAGCGCTGCTCTGCTGTAGATGACGTCTCAAAAGAGATGATATTGTGTTTCAATGAACATTAAAATGTCTGGGCTCTTTTTGCGCCATTTCTGTTTGCAGCATACCCACGGCGCGTCAACATTGATTTTCACAGAGCTAAAGAATTGCGTAACCGTTATTTTAGGTTAAATAACAGATTAAAAGAACACGCGTGAGTACCATGCTCTAAACCAGCACGCAAGCGTCCGTGCGCGTGTACGAGCCTTTTAGCAATTTTTGAATATCGGCCTTATTTACGCTGAAAGTGCTGAACTGAAGAATTTCCAAGTGGGAGACCCGACAAAACTGTATTGCTAATGTCTAGCTAAGAAAAGTTATTTTTAACTAAAGCACTGAAAGTCAACTGTACACAACTGTTTGTGGTATCCTTTCATAACATAAGCACTAACCCAGCAAGCCCCCATCCTTTATCCCTTTCATACACTCAACGGGTTAGAATTGGTCTTCGGCAAACCAGGATGCCGTAAAAAGGCGACTATGCTTGTCATATGAGGCTACGACTAACGGGAATGGGTGGTCAGTCTCAATGGATTGGTTGATGCATGTCTTCGCATCCCAATTGCTTAGATCGATGCTCATGATGTCAATCGCTGGATTGTCTGGTCCAGACTCGATTACTTACAGGCCGCCATCATATAGCTGGAATATTACTGAGTGCGGCGTTAAACAACAAACCAATCAGACAGTCAACAGAGCGGATACCTCCTGTGAATGACAAGGGTCATACGTAGTTACCAGTTTGAGACATCATGAAAGATCCTCTACATCGAACACCGAATAACATGTTCGAAACGTTAATTAAGAAGACTGGTGGCCGCCCGCAATAGTTTCTCTGAGATAAAAAGCAGAGATTGTCTTTGGGAATAGCTCATCATGAGCGAGTGCGAGATTGAGGTAGAATGAAACGTCACATATTTCAACCTTGTAGCCACGAGAACAGGTAATGGAATTAAAATACCAATCTCACTAAGATCAGATCTTACTTCTCAGTTCTCGATATTAGCCAATCAGAAAGCCGCTTTCTTGAGCTTTACGGCACTAGTTTCAAACTGGTGACTTCATTTCAGACAGCGCTTGAAAAATATGTTGAGAAAGTTCTCGATTAAATATTCTGAAAACTGAACAAAATATCATTCTGGAATGTGTAATAAATGGTCGGGTGCCTCACGCTCACTGAGACCCTCGATCCATCGGTAGACATTGTATATGGATATGGCTCGATTATATAATGTCGATCTACAGTAACGCTAAGCATAACTAATAAAGAATGCGATTTTTTATGAATGAAAAAAGAAGTCCCGCTGTTTCAGGGGTCACGGTGTGGTTTCCGGAGCAGAACTAAAAAAACTATTCATCATTTTTCATCCAAACTTGGTACATGCATTAATCAAGGACTGAAGAGGTGCCTTTTGCTATTCAGGAATTTATAAATAAATTTTGTCCTGTTTCCATGGCAATAAGTTTGTCTTTGACTCGGTTCTTGTGGTGTGTTAGTCTGGACCATGTCTCTGAAACCGATAGATATTCTTTCTTGAAGAGGGCACGGGTGGCCCAGTCGTCTAAGGCGCCGCGATTCACTGTGCAGAGTTGCGTCCCTTGGGCACGCCAGAGACCTACGATTGTGGGTTCGAATCCCGGTCGCCCCGATTATGTTTCTAGGTTTCTCGGCACCATACCCGTACTCGCGGGTTTCACCGAAGTGGTAAACGTCTGAGACCTGCATCACTTCGGGTTTTCCTCCCACATTAAGCTGATACGCCGTGATATGACTGGAATACTGTTAAAAGCGGCGTTAAACCAAACTCACTCGCTCACTCTTTCTTAAAACTTTTCACAAAGATCAGGTTGCCAAATGGTGCCGTTGGCTACTCGAGGATGTTTAAAATTTATATTTTTCCGTTACCATGGCTGCACGTTTGACTTTGACTGGTGAGTACCTGACATACAAATACAAAGTTCCGAATCCAAATTCCATGCTATTGTTTTGAGAGCTCAATAACTACTCTTGCATACAGACAGACAGATGAGATAGAAATTTGGACTTACGTGACATAATGTAACAGTCAGATGATTTGTTCTTTCGAATTTGTGGGGTCCGGGGCATGTCATATTCTGATGACTCATGTTTGATGTCATGAAAATATTAAGTTTTGAGTTAAAACATGCTTACTGCAAACGTTGGTGCGTGCACCGTTTAGAAAATTTACAACGTTTTTTTTCTTCCAAACCAATATCTCATCTGCAATGTGGAGTGTGGTAAACTCTTAATTAAAAGATCAAGGTCACTGTTCATACTACCGTAAATAGTTATATCACTGATTTTCTAAGACACTGATATTTCGTCAATCATGGAAAGAGGTTTTACCAATGTTGACTACAGCTCTGACACTTGGTAGCTGCTGAGTGTGTCTATCAAACACAATGACGCTCACAACATCATTTCTATGCCAACCAAACTTCATGACAGCATATGAGTGAGTGAGTGAGTTGGGTTTAACGCCGCTTTTAACATTATTCCAGTTATATCACGGCGTGTCAGCTTAATGTGGGAGGAAAGCCCGAAGTGATGCAGGTCTCAGTCGTTTACCACTTCTGTGAAACCCACGAGCACGGGCATGGTGCTGACAAACCTTGAAACATATTAGGGGCGAACCGGGATTCGAACCCACAATCATAGGCTTCTGGCGTGCTCAAGGGACGCAACTCTGCACAAGACGCCTAAGACGACTGGGCCACTCGTGCCCCGACAGCATATGAGTACCATCGTGCACAGACATCTGAAGTAGGCTAGAAGCATGGTGGCTTCTTGTTGGAAGTTCGACTTTCACATTGTTTCAAACACGGGTCATCCAGTAGACCGGAAAAAGAGGGTGCGTCCGCATTTGCGTAATTGCAGTTTCTAAAACTCTTTTTCAGAAACGTCGAACGGACATTTCCTTATTTCTTCGATGCTGATAAGGAAACCACAAATTTTAGTTGATTGTTTCATATTTGTACATCATTTTTCCCAAAAAGGTTTGACTATTGATTCCGACAGCAATTTATGTTAAGTGATAGTTTTTTTCGGGACGTGATTAGATGCTTACTAAATATCCATCTGCTTTCTTTGTGTAAAATCTTCAAATAAATCGCATTATGTGGGGTTCGATAAAACTCTTTTAGACTCAAAGTTCAAAATCCGTACATATTAGAACTCGAAAACGTCGTTAGTGGATCGGATTTGAAGAAGCAAAAACACACGCTTGTGGGGTACTAAATGTATAATTTAATTTCCCGTTAAAAGGAAATTGATTCACACGGAAAGTTCCCGTAAGATACATGTATCGTGGAGAGATTTTCACAGCACAAGATTATAACATAAAAATATCTGGTTTTCCGTGTACGCCCGTTCAGAATAATGTGTGACATACGAAACAATCTTCTAAAAATGTATTCTGTGAGAATATTTAGTCCAAAACTCTCATTTACAAAAATGCCATGTCTTATGACGGATTTAGTGAGTCTGGTTCATTGCCGCTTTGAACACGGCTCATTTTCTGTTACATCACAGGGCGTCAGCATGATGCGCGAGGAAGGCCGAAGTGATGCAGGCTTTGGACGTTTACTGCTTTGGTGATACCCACAAGCTTGGGTATGGCGCCGTCAAACATAGCAGCATTATACGGGCGAACCGGGATTCGAAATCACAATTATAGGTTTCTGGCACGCCTAAGGGAGGCTACTTATACAGCGAATTCCGGCGCCAATGATTATTGGAGCACCCTTGCCTCCATGGTGGCGTGTGAAAATGATATTCTTAACAACTGCGGTTCAGAAAAACGGAAACTAAGCCAAACATATTATTATTCTATTTAATACAGGTGAATTACCTATGACCTGTTTCAAATTTGGCACCTCTCAAATATTCCTGACATGTCCTGATAAGACTGAAATACTGTTTAAAACGACAGTTGTAATTACAACTCAGAGGCAGCAATGTGTGATGGATTGTGATTTTGTTTATTTATTTCACAGTCAGAAATATTTAGCTGTATCATCGAGACTGGAGCAGACAAACCAGCGGTTGATTTGGCCACCAACGTTCGAATCCATTAGGGCTGACATCATATCAACAAAGTCATCGAGTATGACCACCCCTTTTTAGTCGACAACAAATGTTTGCCGTAAAAGATGACTATACTTGTCATAAGACGCGACTAGCGGGATCGGGTGGTCAGGCTCACTAACTTGATTGATATATGTCATCGTATCCCAGTTGCGTGGATCGATGCTCATGGAGTCAATCACTTGATGGTCTGGTCCAGACTCGATTATTTGCAGATCACCATCATATTTCTTGAATATTGCAGAGTGCGGCGTTAAACAAAAAAGCGAACAAACTTTAGTCGACCTTTACGAGAAGCATATGATGTTGGGTTTTGCCCCACCAGGTAGGTTCGAATCCACCGCTTCCAGGAATATTACATCGTAATAAATAAATAAATAATCGTCACAAAGTGTACACATGTGCGGATTCGAAACCGGGTCTGCAGCGAAACAAGTTTATGCCAATGCCAAAACCACCTTGCTATCCCACCGTTAAGGTAAAAAGGTTGTATCCATTTAGATATAAAAAAATGTGTTATCCTTCACAAGAAATGATAAAATCACATAATGATTATAGATGGAAATTTATAATGCTAACATAGTAACATTTTTAATGCGTGTATGCTCACATCATGGTTCTCCAATACGAATCTTATACTAACAAGTATGTACAAATAATGTCATGGCGAGAGTGCCTATGACAAGAGCAAGACCCTTTAAAATGGGCAAATTACAACACATGTAACATAATGAATCCTTGGGACATTTCATTCTTGATACATTAAAAACACAATTGTTTGGTCATATATATGCTGTAAAATGTTCTGTAAAATGTTCTTCGGGGTGTCCTTGTTACACGTAAGGTGGTTCAATCAAATATTGCCAATATATCCTTACTACATGATTAATAGACAGAATATTCTCCATTCCTCATCCACCAAAATACTGCCTATACGAAACATAGTTCCGTGGAACTTCCCCTCTTTTGGGAATCTCTTTCTGTATTGAAGTCTCCTCTCATCAACATGCGAGGTCGCTTGTTTCAAGAACAATGTCTCACCCAGCTATCAAGTTTACTGTGAGATGATCACCAAAGATCAAAGCGTTACAATTCTTTCATCTATGTCCAATTTATGACCACATCACACGTCCGCAACAATCCTTTGACAACGTTCATACAAATTCTGGTCTACAAGCTCCATAAGGCGACTCGAGTGGCGTCATCTGAACACTGTCTTGAACACAGTAAGCCGCGTGTGATGACCGTGTCATTTGGGAATTTTGACGCAGAAAACGACTCCTCCGATGGAACTCCCTGCCTTTGACGCACATACACAAAGACTGGTAGAACGTGTCTCGGAAGTGCTTCGACATGAAACCGTAGATGAAGGGATTCATAACACTGTTTGCGTAAGCTAAAAGGTAGAAAGTCTGTCTCATCGGCTTCAGGTAACCGTAGTTGAGATGGTGTATTACACGGAACGCAGTCAAGACGTTGCTGATGAGGATAGGGGCCCAGCAAACGACGAAGATCAGGATGACTGCTACCAGCATCTTGATGACCTGATATTGAAAAGAACATCAATAAAAATATAAGTATAGACCTATATGAACATACAATGCCATTTAGAAAGATGTCAAATACAAATGTTATATTTGGGATAACACTTTCTTAGTAAAGGACAGATGCAGGACTCAACCCCAAAAAGTACAAGAATCTGTACTTTACTGAGAAAGTATTATCCCAAAAATAACATTTGTATTAGACATATATGTTTAACAAAAATAAACAAGAAAGAAATTGTCCGAGGGGCCTGAAATTCCGTGATCAGTGCTTCCTGTTGAATGGTGCATCCTACCCCCGAAGCAATATCACACGACGCCATGCACGCTGGACTGGACGTTTTGTGTGATGTGACCAGGGGTTTCCATCCCTGAAGAAACTCGCTGTGACAGTTAATTACCTGGACACCAGACCGTTATTGGTTCGGGATTGCTAAAGAAACAAAGAATTTCATTCTTCAGATAGCCTTACCCAATTTATTTCTTTACGACTTCTCGTGATGATTCCGGAACGAAAAAGGTCACGAGTGGTGCAGATTAATCCCTTATAAAGTATGTTAGCTTTGCAGGCTATAGATCAGACTTGTTTCATGTACGCCAAGGAGTTGGTCAAGGCAGAGTTATATCTGCTTGGCTCTTTACATTATATATTAATGATCTGTTATGCGAGCTGGAACGCTCTAAGCAAGGACTAAATCTGCCGTGGGCACATACTCCAGGCCAGCTCTTGGCAGGTGATACAACACTGTTTAGTAGCTCACCAACAGGCCTTCAAGATCTTCTCAATGTTGTAAATCAGTATGCATATAAATGGCAGCTTAAGTACAATGTCACGAAAAGCGCTGTTCTAATATTTGATGTGCAGCGTAAATTTATCTGCTCTCAATCACTGTACTTGGGCAGTATGTGTGTTCCACTTCAGCAATCTATAATAGATGCAGGTGTCAGGATTTGCTCTGATAAGTCTTCCTTAGAACGAACACAATTAGCTTGTGAAAAGTTAAAAATGTTAATAAATAGTAATAATGATACTGGACTAAAGTATGGAGGCATGAATCCAATCCCAGCAAAAAGGATCTGGGAACGAGTGATACTCCCATGCGGACTCTATGGATGTAATGTCTGGGGGCTATTAACCCTCAAAGAATACGATATGCTGGAAGTTATTCAACGTTATTTCAGTAGAAAAATACAGGGCCTTCCAAAATGTACATCAGGTACTGTTGCTGTGGACAACATGGGCTTGATATCTCTCCAATCCTTTATTGACAAACAGTCACTGTTACTACTTGGAAAACTATGCCGAGCCAGTTACAGCTATGTCTTTAAAAAGGTAATCATTACTCGCCTTGGGCAGTTTAGATACGAAATAGCGTTAGATAACCTCAAAAAAACGATGTGCTTTGTCACCTGTATATAACATGCTCAGACTTGTCAAAACAAATACAATCTTAATGCAGAAATATCAATTAAATGTAGCTTCCCAAGTAAAAAGGCATGGTCTGATATTGTTAAGGAAAGGATTATTTCTGCAGACCAGGAAGCTGTATGCTCTAAGCAGCTATCTAGACTTAACTTAAATAGATATGTTTCGCTACGTAATGATAAAGAACACAGACTCTGGCTACTTGCACTTGAACGTCCTGAACAGTTTCCAAACCTGTCTCATCTTGTACGGCTGGGATGCATAAATATAGAATCCAGGGAATGTCGATGTGGAATTGTAGCTCATGATATTATTAAGCATGTCTTTTTGTATTGTACATTGAATATGAATGACAGAAATGAACTATTTGAAATCATTTGTGATGTGATAGATGTCTCTACATTTGCAAGACTATGTAGTGAGGACGATGATATAACCCTGTCTGTACTACTTGGCGGTATGCCTGAGTGTGTTAGCTCTTTATCTCAAAGTCTATGGGGTGACTTTATGGTTATTGTGTCAAGACATTGTAGGAAATGGCTGTATCTGTTACAAAACAGTTATAAGAATGCTTGATTGTCATGCATTTTGTAGTTATCATTTCTAATAATATTGTTTAATTGTACTACTGTACAGCTCTGTAATTATACATAATATCATATATGATATGTATCTTCAATATCTGGAGGAAATAAAGAATATCTATCTATCCGACCCGTGAAGATTCCGGGGTAGAATAGGTCTTCAGCAACCCATGCTTGCCGTAAAAGGTGACTACGCTTGTCGTAAAAGGCGACTAACGGGATCGGGTGGTCAGGCTCGCTGACTTGGTTGATGCATGTCATCGATCCCAATTGCGTGGATCGATGCTCATGATATTAATCACTGGATTGTCTGGTCCAGACTCGATTATTTACAGACCGCCATCATATAGCTGGAATATTGCTGAGTGCGGCGTAAATCAAAAAACCAAAAACAATAATAAACATATCCGATAAAAGGTACGATACTAGATAAAACATATTTAAGTTTTAATATACCAGACTCACGGAAAGCAACAATCAATAAATGTAGAAACATCACAGCTGCTTAAGGACCTAAGGAAACCTGTTAAAGGCTCTTGAATATTTTATGATCAATTAATATCAAATCAATATAAGTGTCTGAAAAATGGCGATCAATATTTGATTGTGAGTTTAATTGAAAATATATTTCTGTCGATAGATATAAAGTCATGAAGGATGCAAAAGATTTCAATTTGCAATACATATTTCTACATGGAAATATCTACACAATGAAAGAACCATTTACAACGAATCTATGTATGTGGCTTTTGTAGCGCTGTCAAAGAGAATGAGTTTTTTGGGAATGTAACGAAAGTGGAATAATCGCGAACTTTCTTTCACAAAGGATATAATTGACAAAATATCTTATTTGGTTTGGTTCTGATACTTTAATCAAGCATATACTTTTATTGAGAAAAGGGTACATTCATGTTTGTGGAATAAAACCGAAAATAGATATACTTTTAAAACAACTTGAAAACGTACATTCTATTGACAATTTGCTGCTATAAAATAGATGACGAAAACAACAACACTCAAACACACATATTACTCTCAGCATTCGATTCTTAGCTCTCTCTTGGTTGGTCCTTCACACGCCATGCTTGTTTCTGGTTGTGTTGCAACCTTTCTAGAGTGTACAGTATCATTCTATTGCAATCCGAAATCTCTCGACTGTACACTGTATTACTTTTCAACTTTGGAAAGAATAACTGGCGAAGATGGGCGACTAATTATATCGGACACCACATGCTATGATTCAAATAGTAAGTCCACTGAACAACGGTGTTGTCAAGAGTTATAGTACTAGCCAAAAATGATTACGAATGAATCAGCCAGGCGACAAGTAATACTAAGCTGTCAACCCTTAAGACTAATTCGGACATAAATCCGGACCAGATTGAAGAGTGCTTAAAGATGAAACAGTTTAGCAAGGTTAGAGGTTGGCCAGACTGGACTAATCACAGATCAGTAAGTCAGACCAGACTGACTGATTATAGGTCAGCACGGAACAGAACAGAACACCTGGTGTCATCACAGATTTTCAGTGATCCATTCATGCAATTTGTGAGGGGGGCCTCGGATGTTATCAAAATAAATATAATGTCCCAGAAAATGCTTGATTTTTTTATTATGTTACATTGTTGCCATTTTTTCTTACTTAAGCTCATATTTACTTAAATATCTGGAATGGCAACTGTAGCTGAAAGCTATCCAGTGTTTACACAAAATCCCAGACACCCCACCCCCTCCTCCAGACTATCAAATGGTCGGTCCTGCACGGGTATTCATGCATTATAAAATGTTTTGGGTCGGTTAAATGTAAGTATTTTAGGGACTGGTGGGTAGCACGGCGGATAAAGCGTTCGTTCGTTATGCCGAGGACCTGGGTTCGATCCCCAATATGGGTGCAATGTGTGAAGCCAACGTCCGCCATAACGGTATTGGAATATTGGTGAAAGATGTGCAAAACACCCCTCACTCACTCACAAGTTTTAATTTGAGTGTCTTTCTGTTACAAAAACTGGACACATAAAAAGAGGAATTCATCACTAATGTCGTGGTTTATTACAGCTGTGGTTTATCTTTCCATCTTCCTGTTCGATGGAAAGATATGGTTGCCACACCTGAATCTCAGTAAGGGAAGTCATTGACTGTCTTTCAAAAACAATAGATCAGATTCTAGAGATGAACAGTCTTATTACGTTTATATTTGGACCCTGTGGACGATTTCTTTTATCAGATAACCACAATTGTCGATTAATATGTGTTCGGGGTTCTGCATTAACAGTATATATCCTTTTCTAAAAATAGTATCTTTTTAATATAAATGATTTAATCTACCTGTTTCCTTGTGGCATCATCATCAGTGGAGAATTTCTGCTTCTTCACAACCGGGGTCTTCTCTGACGTTACATGGTAGGGGCTGTTGTCAGCTGAGTGCGATGTCCGGCACGTCCCTGTGTCCAGCACTCTGCCAAAGAACAGTGAATACTGACGACTTGCAAACACTCACGTGTCGGTACTCTTCTAATTGAACCGACGAATAAAACAACGAGTATTGTATCCTGCCAACATACATGTGCCTGACAGAAAAAATTACCAGTCACGGCGGTTACTACTGTAGATTTGCCTACATGCAAGTGCCCTCTGCAAATGGATCAGTCTCTTTTACTTCAGTAGACCTGCCTACATATAAGTGCCCAACCCTCTGCCAATGACCAGTCACTGCGACTGCTGTAGACTTAAAAAACCTCTCTGCCTCTCAGTTGATTTTATCATGTTTCATTTTCAAATGAAAATATTATATCCCAAAAATAAACAACACTGTCGCTTAAAGAATACTTCTCAATAAGTCTTTGAATCGCATTTAGAAGTGAACCAGACAAGTGAGAGAATGTATGGATGTCAACATCTGTATTATGAGGGAGTCAACTTTTCGGAGTATATGCTTATAACTTCAACAGAAAGTCCATCACCATTCACTTGAGGAAGGAGTAAGGATATGTGGGAAAAATGCCACAACAGGATCGTTATATACTGCGCCAACGCCTCCACGAGCAACGGAAACAGCCGCCAACAATTTGACATGTCATAGTTCAGCCAGGGGACCGTAACTCCCAGCTTGCCTTTGTCAGGAAGGTCTTCAATGGGTCCTGTGTCGTAGCATTGGCGCCATCGGCAAGATGGCAGACCCAGGGTGTGGCGAAGGCGGGGCGAACGGTTTGCAGATGCTTTCGTTATCTACTGAGGCCCCTAGGACCAACCATCACGGTCTGGGGTGCAATTGGTCTGTGCACGGTCTGTGGTCTTCCACAGAATCGGTCCAGGCAGGGGTCATTGGGTCACGGCTCTTTGGTACATTGACAAGGTTTTGAGACCCCATGTTGTGCACATTTTCGTGACATCCGAATCTCACTCCCAGCAGGACTAAGTCCTTTCCATCACTGCCAGAGCTATTAAGGCGTTTCTTCAGCAGCATGACATCGGAACCATGCCCTGGACTGCCCTGTCCGGATTTGAACAAACTTGAACACTCATGGGACGAGATAAAGAGAAGGGTTAGTAAGGTGCACCCAAGACAACTGCAGCTGAAGTGTAGCCCTCGTTGCAGTATGGGTCCAGATCGCCATGGCATTCATCAACCACCATGCGCGCGTCAAGTCATCATGTGATCTGCCCCAAAAGAGGTCGCTCGCAAATCAGTCTATAGCATGTGGCTATTCTGCCCCGATATAAACATTCAAATCATAGCCAAGCTCTCTGATAAAAGACGTAAACATGATACAGTAAAATATATTTATAATGAACTGACAGAACTTATTTTTGGGTCCCAACTATTTGCTGTATATATGCTGTAACGAGAACTACGGTAATTACGAACTAAAATATGTGGTCCTATTGAGTTTGTTATTACCACAGTTTACTGTATTCTTAAGGTGTCATCACTTTAGCCATTGGAGGTTGAGCACAATACTAGCCATATTAAAGTATATTCAACAATGAGTTGGTTTAAAAACACTCGTCTGGTTGATGATAGTTTCATCGATTATGATTGGATTACGTGTCACACAGGGGGACAATCATTTTATGGTACTTTAAGCTCCTGGACAGTTGGTAAAATCACAACACCAAATTTAAAAACAAGCAATTTATTATTCACATGCATATTTAAAATTTATTATACAGACCAATTTCTTTCAAGTAACTTGAGATGAGATGCCCTCTTCCACGGGAGAAGAGATCTATCAGATTTACGCTTTGGTAATGTGAATCCCATGCAATTGCAAAGTCCACACACGGTGAACCTTTCATCACATGGGATACACTTCGGAGGTTCGTCCTCATCTATCCTATTCAGCAGATATTCGTGGGTAAACCGACTGTGGTCAATACGACATCGTCGTAAGACGACCCCATCATGTCTTGACTGACAATCAAAGTATGTATGACCGATTGTTGGTTTAAATTCGTGAAGTTTATTGATTCCTACCTCTTGATGGTTGGTTTGTAATCACTGTGCGGGATAAGTGTGTGGAGATAACGGTTTGTCAAGAGCTGACTTCAGCTGCAGCAGCGGCTTTTGAGTTACCTATTATGCCTACATGACTTGGTTACCAGCAAAAGACGATGTCACATTGGATTGGCCAGTAGAAAGATCATTAAAAGTTATATTATGTTTAGAATAATAAGATGATTTGAGGAGACACTTTTAAGTGCCTGGAGGCAAGACAATGAATCGGAGAAGATCATGAAGTTTTTAGATTAGTTTTGTTGTTGAATATAGGTCAAAGCTGTTAAGATAGCAGTACTAGTAAAGTTTTAGATTGAACTATTATCTTGGATTCTTAAGGAGACAGCTCTTGATCCAGTGATGGTGGCACGGTAACCTGTTCGGTGAACACAATACTAACATATATAAGTTGTCCTTCCTACGATCTACCGAGGTTGCTCGGCTTTTTATGTTTTGTGTGTTTGTTGTTTAACGCCGCACTCAGCAATATTCAAGAAATATAACGTGTGAAATACGAATTTGATTGGACAAGTATTTAACTTTATCATATGGACTGGAGTTGATTGAAAAAATTAGTCATCAGACAATTAGTGAATATTATTTTGGGAACAATTCTATATGTTTGTATTTGTAGAAATGTGGAATAATTGTGATAGTGATGATCTTGAAAATGCCTTTCCAGATTACAGGGTAAGTATACTCACCGACAAGACACGTGAATACCATATATACTAGTTGATATATGAAGAATTACTCATATTCAAGTGATATTACATTGGTTCGACGCACAAACGAACATACTGGTATGTTGTGTGTATTGACGCTCATGAACGCATCATGCATGGCATCGATCCCAATTGCGTGGATCGATGCTCATGATATCAATCACTGGATTGTCTGGTCCAGACTCGCTTATTTACAGACCGCCGTCATATAGCTAGAATATAGCTGAGTGCGGCGTTAAACAACAAACCAACCAACCAATCATGAACGCATCACATGTGACGTCAGAGACGTCGAGATGCATCATTTGTCTCATGCAGGATTGGCGTGGAAATCATGTGCAGCATATCGTCATAAGAATATAGACACTTGACTGATTGTTAGTTTTGTCATTAAGTGGTACACATTGGAAACATCTCTTCTTTAGGTAAATACTTTTCTTTTTGTTTCTATGGTTTGCGTTTCTTTTCTCGGTGAATATACATAAAGGGATTGGAATAACAATGGTGGTTTGGCTCATCGGTCAGATATAATATGTCCAAAGATATAAAGAAGACCTATCTGAAATTTACATATTGGTTATTCCTACTCTTGGATAATTGTTTTATGGACACACCAAGAGATATTCTACTTTCACATTTCCCCTGTCAAAACTGACAAAAGTTCTCAAATAGGAATTGATTTTCTGGACAGCTGTCTTACATGTATTTTATCCGTCACTTTGATTGACGCACTTGTCATCATCATTGGGGACTTTAATGCACTATCAGGAAATTTGCAGGATTATGTTAAAGTTGAAAGTTCCCGTTTTTCCCATCTCTGGAAGTAATGGGATATCATGCTGATACATTTCAAAGACCTAGAAATAATAAACATGACGTGGTCGCATGGAACATAGTTAACTATGGATGACTACATTAGAACATGTCATGAATGGAAGGAATATCAGTGACCACCAGGACGAGTTTACAGAACTACATACTTGACTGCTGTCTGTGTTCCACTGGGGTGTTTGATTCAGATACAGATTTCAGAGTAATAACCTGATGGGTCTCTGATCATTTACCTATCACTATGTTTTACCTATCATTATCATTTACCTATCACTATCTTTTACATATCACTAACATTTACCTATCACTATCATTTACCTATCATTATCATTTACCTATCACTATCATTTACCGATCAATATCTTTTACCTATCACTATCTTTTACCTATCACTATAATTTACCTATCACTATCTTTTACCTATCACTATCATTTACCTATCACTATCATTTACCTATCATTATCATTTACCTATCACTATCATTTACCGATCAATATCTTTTACCTATCACTATCTTTTACCTATCACTATAATTTACCTATCACTATCATTTACCTATCATTATCATTTACCCATCACTAGCTTTTACCTATCATTATCATTTACCTATCACTATCTTTTACCTATCTCTATCATTTACCTATCATTCACTATCTCACTGCACGATGTAAGATAAGATGTCAATACAAGAGAGTAACCAGTCTTTATTATCCGCCGAACAGACCTGAAGAAGAATTTCTTCACCAGACAAGCCTCACACAAAGAGATATCAATGGATTCATGGATTATCAGAAGTATACAAAGAATAGTTGGAGGTAAGAAGAGAAATGATCTCATTACCCTGTTACTGAATTCACTACTGATGTTCAGTACGACATTGATTCTGCCATAACGAAACTGTATTTTGTATCTGGCCCGTTCAGCTACAGAAAGTGGCCTGCAGCTATATAATCACATTTTACATTTTGAGGGGAAACACAGTGGAAAGATCACGAATGTGCTTTTCTAAAAACGAAAATAAACTTTGAACTAGTTCTGCCGGAACGTATCTTTTTACTTTTCGACATTTTAGGAACTCTTACATACAGATGGATTTTAAAATCTTTTGGACACAGATCAAACAGATCACGAATAATACCAACGCGAGACATTTTAAATTTGACAAGTGTCCCTCTACTTTTGCGGACAGTTTGACTATAGAAGCTCAACTTGTGATATCTGTGATGATGGTTATAAGATAATCCTCTTTACAGTAACATAGGTGAGGTGAGGTGAGGTAAGGTGAGGTGAAATGGGGTTTAACGTCGCGTCCAAGATTATTGCACTTATATAGCGACGTGCATGTACGTGTGTGTGTTTGTGTGGCTGCTTGTACTAGTCCGGACTGATGACGATTTATAGTGCTAGCTCACTGAGATACCATACCCCAGTTTAACATGAAGACACATTATACTGACTCCGAGGCGACCAGTCCTTGTTTTAGCCCCTTAATGCCGAGCGCCAGACAGGGTAACAACAAGTACCATCTTTTAACGTCTTTTGGTATCACGCGGCCGGGGATCGAACCCCGGACCTTCCGCTCTCCGGGCGGACGCTCTACCACTAGACCACGGAGGAGGTTTAAAGAACGGAAAATCAGCAGGACCGGAATGTATTTTGCCAGAAATGCTGAAGTGGTGCGATAGTGTGTGATGAGATACATCGCTATACCTTTCAACAAAATATCTAAGTACTGAACATCCTTCGAGAATTAATACAGGACGGCGGGATGACTACTTCGTGAAGTAAAAAAATATGTCAGTTGTGTGACCTAAACAAGTTGTGTCGAATAATCGGACCCCCCACCCCACAAGCCGATTACTAAATGGCTGGTCCCCTACTGACAGTATACTCACAAGCCACTCCTCATTGCGGATCTCCTGGTGGTCATTATCCACAACTCCAGACAGATGCTGACATAGGCGAAAGTCATGATAGCTACTGGGAACACTAGCATAATGCACAGCATGAACAGCTCGTACAGCCTGCTGTAGAGCGTCTGGTCCCAGTCCTTCACGCACCAGTACCCCTTCCTGTACACCCCCACCTCCTTGTGGATCTACACGACACAAAAACACATCTCAGTTATATCTGTAGTTGCGAGATTTAAAGGCAGGGTACCCTCTTATCTGCCGAAGAAGCTGAAAACAGCGTCATAGTTACACAGGAACGAACACCAAAGAAGGTCTCATTCGCTGGAATCTGAAATTACAAAAATGTTCTTTTTTGACATTAACAGTATTTATATGTGTTAGAAACAATATATGTATAAATGTATATATTCTTCGAAATGTTAGCGCTTGTCATCGATCCAATGTTCATGAAACAGTGATGGCCTGCTACAATGGAAAGCATAAATAATAACAGTAATAGAAATAATATGTATTTCCGTTTCCATCAACCGAATTCGTACACGTTCACTTCACATACATGAGGGGGCACGGGTGGCCCAGTCGTCTTAGGCGCCGCGATTCGCTGTGCAGAGATGCGTCCCTTGGGCACGCCAGAAACCTATGATTGTGGGTTCGAATCCCGGTTCGCCCCAATTATGTTTCTAGGTTTGTCAGCACCATACCCATGCTCGTGGGTTTTCACCGAAGTGGTAAACGTCTTAGACCTGCATCACTTCGGGCTTTCCTCCCACATTAAGCTGACACACCGTAATATAACTGGAATAATGTTAAAAGCGGCGTTAAACCTAACTCACTCACTCACTCACTCACATACATGAACATGAATATTATAAAGGTGACTGTTCTATAAATGGCCTGGGGACCATTTCTGCCTATTTCAAGACACTGTACAAAGTTAGTATGTGAGTAGATCTGAGACATTGTATCAATGTAATTAAGCGATAGATTGCTTTACATCATACAACTGAACTAGCAGAGGTTTTTGATTGACTTGAATCAACCAGTGGGACTGCCAGCAACATAAATAGCAGACAGAAAGACGGAGTAGAAAGTTAAAAATGATTGGAACACCATCATGTAATGACTTGTCCTATTCCTGTCCTCTTAAATCACTAGAACGCCGTTTCATTGAAAGAAAATACTGACGACCAAACAATATTGACTAAAAAAAATATGTCATTAGGTTGTGGTAATATAGGAAGTCACCCTCCCACATTTCTCACCAAGCAGTCCCCAGGTACCTGAGAAAAGTCGTTGTTGCGGAAATACACATCGCGAATCTGCAAATTGGTACTAATTTGCTGTCTTCAATGATTTATTCCAATCAAGATGACGCACTCGTGTTAAGTGTGGTAATTCGTATTATTTCTGTTTCCTAGTTAAGGCCGAGTGCCATTTGGACTCTCCTTATCGCTGTGGACACCTTGGCACAATAAATTGATTCCAAATCTCGACATCAGATACCTAATAGCGCTGTTCTCACGAATTATGTCTTAATTATAGCTACCAACCCTCTATCCTTGTCCCTCACGGAATCGGTCACAATCATCCAATTTTGAAAGATTATGCAAGAACTAATTCCATTTCTCGTACGATTCTTAAGTGTTTGTCGACAACACTAAATGATGGAATCGGTGCTGACTTGACCGTGTGTCCACAGACAAAGAGAGGACTTATCGATCTAAAAACACACGTCTGATACCTCGATACTTAGTTTGCTTTCAAACAGTTCTTGGTGGTAAACATTCAGTTCAATGTCCCTTCATCTTAGTTTATTCTTCATGCTCGACGTAATTGCTAGCGGTTGCCTCATAACGGTCTTTCGTTTCAGAAGCTCTTCCGTAATTTGATGAGAGGAAAGATTTGGGCGACAACGCTGAAAAAAACTACTTTGATACGTATTTCCGACTACAACCTGGATAATCTGTTCCACATCCGATCTTTAGGTAGCTACAGTAAACTACGGTTATAACGAACTCAAAGGGACTACTAATTTTAGTTCGTTATAACCGTAGTTCGTTTTAAGTACATATACAGCATAACTTAAGCAAGTAGTCGGGACCAAAAAGTAAGTTCGTTATATCCGTAGTTCACTGTACATGTAAAGCTGAGTATTTCATGTGTGTGAGAGAGAGAGAGAGCGGTACAGTGTGTGTGAGTGAGGGAGTGAGTCGGCTATGATAGTTGCCCTGGGGTCTAGTCCACAAGGCATAACACTAAGATGATATGAGCATGTCCAAAGTATCCTTAGAATCTAGGTTGCAGCAAGTTTCGTTACATAACGTGTCTCCGAGTGGCTACACTTGGAAGGGTGGTCTTGGCGTCTTTTCAAGTGACCCGAAACTAAAGCCGCAAACATCGAGTGCTTGTCCGCATCGCACAAACGTATACTAACGAAAGGAAATTAGCGTCCGTATTTTTATTAACTGCAGACCTATAGTCACTTAACTGATGTACACCATCTAGGTACGGAGTATCCAAGCCTTCCCTGTTTTTGTTTATACTACGTTTATAACGAACACGATTTTAACGAACTTGCGGATATGACGAACTGTTTTTTTCTCCCGGACATTTGCTGTGTATATGTTTTATATATACTTATAACGAACAACGGTTATAACGAACTAAAATTAGTGGTCCCTTTGAGTTCGTTATAACCGTAATTTACTGAAATTACAAATCAATTCAAACATAATCGGCCAATATTAAACGTGAGGTGAATCGGCGGCACTGGAAACAATCGTCAGGAACGTTACTCACTCTTTGGAAAACTATGGGCACAGCAAGGAGACCTGACAACAACCACAGCACGGCTATAACCCGGCAGGCCTTCCCGACAGTGCATGTAAATTTGGCTCTCATCGGAAACATGATGGCGTAATATCTGCAATGACAAGGAACAAATATATATATATATATATATATATATATATATATATATATATATATATAACGGTAATGCAGCCAATTCGGAATTTACTAATAAAAATACTACGCTGAGAGCAATAGAACTGACATAGTTTCAGCACACAGTATGTTTTTAAACATCTAAATCCAAAGATAAACTCCTCGTTTGTAAAAAGTAGAGAAAACAAAGATACCAACTCCTCGATGGAACGAAAAAACTTCTCATACATGTAGGAACACATCACACCTGTTTTAAATAGTGGCATTCCATCTATCTATACACTGCGTTAAGACATGTACGTACATAGTGCATGATTCGATTACTACAGAACACGAATAGCCGTCATATTGCTGGAACATTGCTGAGTGCGGCGTTTAACAACAAACAAACAAACAAAGATAACACGAATAATGGAGGTTATTGCACCTGCGCCGCGCAAAGAAGCTTGCGTTCCATCCAAGAGTTGGTCTCCCTTTTTCTTTCCTTTTTACCATCGAGAAGTTTTTCTTTACATGTTGAAAAGATAATATGTGATGACTTTTATGTATTCTTACGTATGCAAAAAGATTTCGCACAGAATATAACAAATGCATCCCATTTCTTACAAAAGACTGTTAGTCTTGGTCAAGAAAATGTTTAGATGCTAAATGGTTACACGTGCTTCAAAAGAACTGTGGCCGAACTGTGGAACAGTCCTGGCGGTTCCCATTACCCCTTCCCTTTTTCATGAAAGCCGCCTGCGATTTTCATTAAATTACGCTGTCATCAATTTCAGGATAGTCAACGTGCCACACCAATAGGCTGGCAGACCTAAAGTAACACGTGACCTTACTACTTCACAACGAATTCTTTTTCTGACCATGTCAGCAGTACATCATGATAATTAAACATATTTCGCAAACCAAACAATTCACTGAGTAATCTGCCCATTCTTTTCTTATACAATGCCCACAACCGTTCAACGGGTTATGTTAAAATATAGACATTTTAAGTGTATCCTTTTGAACACCTGGTGTCCTCATTGAGGACCATATATTTGCATTTCTTGTCTGGCGAACTACAACATATTAATATTACAGGAAGAAAACGTTTAAGTATAACAATATTGACCGATAGGTTGAAAGTGGTCAACCAGTCAATTATTTCATATCCAAACCACGCTACATCGGTAACATGGTGTCACCGGGGTTCTGTGGGCAGTATCACTATTCTGCAGTTGTACAAACCTCTCCAGACTCATGGCGGTCAGGGTAAACACAGAACAGATGGCAGACACATTCTGAAGATAGTGGACGCTTTTGCACAGAAACTCCCCAAAGGTCCAGGTGAATGAGAAGAACGCTGCTAACTGCAACAAAACAAAGAATAATGATCATGAACTACAATGTTTGTTTGTTTGTTGTGTTAGTTTACCCCGCACGCAACAATATTCCAGCTATACATATACGCAATTGAGATACGATGACGTGCATCAACGAAGTCAGCGAGCCTGACCAGCCGGATCCCGTTAGTCGCCAATCATGGGTTGCTGAACGCAAATGCTAACCCGGACCTTCAAGTTATTAAACATTAAATGGATACGGAGATTGGAAACAGGATTTCTAAGGTACTTATGTTTCACTCTTTAAAACCTTTGTCACTGTGATGATGGTTGAACTTTAGCCGTTAAGCTGCGTATTTATCGACGCAGGTTACGGTGGCTTGTAAATAAACAAGTAAGAAACGCCTCACGCCTACCAAGGCACCAAGCCTGATCAAAGCGAACCATAGCATACGTTGCTCGGGACAAAATCCAACCCGGAATCCATACTGGGTGCGCTGACTTAATTCAAAGGACGGCATAAGCAGTTTAAAAACGTTGCCATCATCCAACATGATGTTACTGTATCACGATCTACAATTAACTTTTCGTCACTATTTCCGGATCTCGTCTTGAAAATACAAAATCCTACAACTTGTGTTGTTTCAAGGACTCGTCGAACTGAACACATCACACCTGTTCTACAATCCCTGCATTGGCTGCCGGTCAAGTAGAGCATCCACTTCTTTGATGACAACATAACAACATCTTTGAAACAGCATCAAGACCTTAGTGCCTCAGAGATCTTGTAGGTCTTCATGGTCCAAATCGTGCACTTCGGTCTATGGACAACTCCAGCTTGACTCAGCTGAGTACCAAAACCAATATGGGACAGAGAGCATTCGCTGCAGCTGCTCCAACCCTCTGGAACACTCTCACAGTTTCAATCGGGACAATTCCATCAGAACCACCTTTCAACAGCTCTAACAATTCACTTATTCAAAATTGCTTTTTGAACATCTCTGCACAACATTTCTCACAGAGGTGACTGTACATCTCCAATGTGTCATTCGTGACCAACTCGTGTTATTCCGGGACAAGCCGAATAGCGACTCGTGCCCCTCTCGTGACCATTTTTGCGACCGGGCTCCGTCTTAGCGCAAATGGGCATACCTAAAACAATTGTCAACTCGTTGCGTAATGGTTCACACATTTCCCCCATATATTATATATATTTCAGATGCAATTTAAAGAACATCGGGACGTGCGGAATTATACAGTATGATCGAACACATATAACTGTGTCTTTGGTATATTTTTAGATGCAAGACATATGTAAATTGAAAAATTATTTCTGAGGGATTCTTTGACGAAGAACTTGAAATCATACGCGCATTCTGATTGGTTTGTCGTATTTTCGCACATAACATTCATCGAGAGGGGGACGAGTCTTCTTGCAGGTTACGGAAAGGGGCGAGTGGTGACGAATGCCAATGTGTGTGTGTCTTTTTACCGCTTTTCTCAGCGCCGTTGGGCACCGTGAGATGGAAATTAGGCGCTATATCCAATCATTATCATTATTATTATTATTATTATTTTAAAGATTAAAATAAGAAATGCAGCAAAGAGGGTTTGGGTAATCCTGGCAGTCAGGCTGGTTTAGGCTCATCATCAGGTCAGGGTTTTATTATTATTATTGTTGTTGTTATTATTATTTCCATTATTATTAATATTATTATTATTAAGATTAAAATAAAAAATGCAGCAAAGAGGGTTTGGGTAATCCTGGCAGTCAGGCTGGTTTAGGCTCATCATCAGCTCAGGGTTTAATTATTATTATTGTTGTTGTTATTATTATTTCCGTTGTTTGGAGTGAGCATATATTACCTACAAGTAATCGAAACTGGACCAGACACACCAATGATTTTAGTTATGAACAATTTAATGACAAGCAATGAAACAAGTCACTAAATCTGTCCACCGATCAGTTTGCTCTACTCTCACGTTTCAGTACAGAAAACAAGCATCAATCCACAGACAAAACATCAAATAGATGATGTTTTGCATATGTATGGGGCTGTGAAGACGAAAGCATGTTTATGTATTGCATTACGCCGCACTCAGCAATATCCCCCAACCTGACGGTGGCCTGTAAATAATCGTGTCTGGACCTGACAATCCACTGATCGATATTACGAGCGTAAGCGCTGTCCATGCCAAACCGGAGGTTGGTTTGGTTGGTTGGTTGGTTGGTTGGTTGCTCAACGCCGCACTCAGCAATATTCCAGCTCTATGACGGCGGTCGGTAAATAATCGAGTCTGGACCAGACAATCCAGTGATTAATATTATGCGCATCGATCCACGTAATTGGGATCGATGACATGCATCAACCAAGTCAGCGAGCTTGACCACCCGGAGGTTGGTATATGGCAACTACCATTATCTCTGGGGACAGTAATAACTGGTATGTGGTCAGTCCTAAGGTCAGTCCCAAAGCGCTTTTAATTATTATTTCTAACTAAATCTAACGTATATCCGGATCGTAATGAACATAGTATTTATATACAACGCTCAATTAAAAGTTGGTTTATAGTGGTTGACTGCATGATCAAATTTACTTTAAAGGTTATTGAAATAGTGTCTGATAGTTAGTATAAGAATATTACGTTGATTTGCACAGATCAAAATAGCAGGGACATTAATGAAAACTGTTCTTGTTGAAGATATTTAGGACGTTTTGTTAGTCCACTTATTCCCTCATGGTATTGCAGTATTGTTTTAGCTGCGAATAGCTGCAACGTCATCTTGTGGCGTTAAGCTTTATCCCGACACTATAATGAGCATGTGGTAATGGACCATGGTGATAGTGATCATCAAACGTAATACAGGTGATACCAGATGTTCGCTAAAAGGTGTTTGTGTCCTGCCCAGCGGTGGCACCCGACACAAACACATGCAAAGGCAAATCAATTGTGCACCTGAAAGAACACGTGAACACATGGTACAAGTCAAAATAATCACTGCTGCGTCAAATTTGGCAATGTCCACCACTAGAACACTTTTTGAAAGCTTTGATGGGGCCTTTAATGTTGTAGCACTGACCTCACAACTTTGTAGCAAGATTTTTATGATGCTCTTTGAAATCTTCGTATAAAGAGCATAGTCGATTGTACCTTTATTGCAAATTGTGACATTTAGACACCAAAGGCTGGATCTGCTTGAATATTGCTCAACATAAAGGGAAGGCTGACTGTTGAAAAGTTGAAGTCATCCGTCTTGTCATAAAAGAGCATCTTGCGGAGAGATCTTTATGCACATAGCAAAATATGAAACAGGTAAAGCAGAGTCACTGGTAACTTTTACTTCTATTTCAGGTGGGTATATCAGTGGAAGGGAATTGACTTTTTGACCATCATTTTACTATATCAGATATTCGCTATGTCTGAATGTTAAGTTCAATATCTTTGACAAATTTCTTAGTTTTTTAATTTAACAATCTAAGCAGATATTCCGTTAAATTTGTTTTAAAAAACAGTTCAATAAAAAGTTGAGTACCCTTGATGCCTAGTTCTCTAAATGTCTTATCTCCAAATTTCACATAGATGGTATCAATTTCGCATATTTCTTTCTAAACTTCAGATGACATTTGATTAAATTTACAGTTTCAAATTGTCCTGAACCTCTTAAGGCAGCAATTTGAAACTATATCTATGGTCACTGCGTTCTAGTAACAAGTGCCCCGTGGCATGAGAATCATCTCTGATCTGAAGAAATACAATTTGGCCAATCACAGCATAAGAAAAGCATTCACTGAATCAGTAAAAGCAATGAAAAATGCCTTCCGTCATTGCTAAGAGGATAAATATCCTCAACATGGCGTCACGATTCGCTTATCAGCAATCTGAAAGGCTCGAACAAGGTATAAATGAGATTTTGTCAAGCTGGAATTACCAACAGAGACAGCTCATTTAGAAAATCAAAACCCTAGACATTGTGAACCAACAACCATCACCTTCTTCAGTTTTCTTTTGTTTTAAATATCTCGGAATATATACACATCAACTAAGGTAATACATTGATAAAAATCCTAAAATCACCTTACAAAGCTAATATTGACACATTCGTGCGCTTGAAAGAAATAATAATGTATCGGCCAAATGACATCAAACTTAAGGAGCAAGTATTGAACGATTTATGAGTGTCGTTTAAAAATACTTTATCGATTATGGTCTGGTAGCCCGTCGGTTCATGATATAAGTTCAAAAATATACATTATAAGGGCTAACAATGTCTAAATCATGGTCCATGTGCTCGGGTGAAGTCAATATTTCCACTGGTAATGGTACTTGCAACAGCGCCAACCCCTGTAATCATGTTGCCTTTCAAATCCTCGAGCTCGTCTTTCAAATGCTAACGTCAGATGAAACCAAACCTTCTGGATTCATCTACTGATTTATTTGATTTAACAAAAAACAACTCCGTTTTGTGTTTAAATGTCTAAACTGTTCGGTGAACACAATATTTACATATATGACGTCTGACTTCCAAGCTGTGAGGAGGCTGTCGGGTAGCCTAGTGGTTAAAACTTTCGCTCGTCACGCCGAAGACCCAGGTTCGATTCCGGACATGGGTACAATGTGTGAAGCCCACTTCGCCGTCATATTGCTGGAATATTGGTTAAAAGCGGCGTAAAACCATTCTCACTCACTCACTCCAAGCTGTGATCAAACAGGGCCAGAAAGCAGAAGTTGTCCTTCCTGTGAGCGACGGAGGTTGCTCGGCTTATGATGATAGCAAGTATCTCCCAAACGCTGATATGTTTTGTTTGTTTCTTGTTTAACGTCGCACTCCAGCTATATGTGGGCGGTCTATAAATAAACTAGTCTGGACCAGACAATCCAGTGATTGATATGAGCATCGATCCACTCAAATGGGATCGATAACATGCATCAACCAAATCGGCGAGCCTAACCACCCGATCCCGATAGCCGCCTCTTACGACAAGCAAAGTCGCTTTTTAAGGCAGGCACGTGTTGCTGATCATGAA